GTATATGTATATGTATATGTATATGTATATATATATATATATTATGTAATATTGTGTTCTTTTTTTTGCAATCTGTATACATATTTTTCCTCCATTACTCATTCCATCCTACCCCCGAATATACATCAGAAGTGAAATCATTCAATGTTGGGGATGTTGTTGAGTCGGCATCAACCGAGAACGACGGTCATTGGTACCAGTGCAGGATAGACAAGATCATCCAAACACCCGACGGAGTGCAGTACGCCATTTCGTACTTAGAGGACTCCAATGTCACCAATGTGGTCGACGCATCACAAGTATGTGTCACTATGCTTCGTTCGGTTCAGGTAGATGTGTGAGGCTGCATAGCACCATCTGTTACTACCTTGATATTTTATCCAAATTTAATAAGGAGGTTATCTGATTATATATCCTACATACACATACTGTTTTCCTTTTCTTTTTGAGGGTTTTAGGGTTTTCTGAAACCCTAAAACTCTAAAACTCTAAACATATATCCTACACACACTCACAGGTACGGAGTGTGGTAGAAAACACAGACCAGGCAGAGGGCGACCCACAATTTAAGACCAATAAACAGAGAGCCCTGGAAAGCCGTGAGTACAAGAAAGCGCGCAGAGAGAAGAAGCAAGAACGTCTGCGCAAACTAGAGGAGGAGAGCGAGAAGGATAAGAAATCGTATGGCCGCAACGTGTCTGTATCTGGCATCTGTCCGTACAAGCAGCTGTTGAATGCATGTCTTCTGAAATGTGTATAGTATTGGAGTATTATACTGATGTCCAGAACAGTTCAATGACACACCAGTGTATGTCACACACACACACACTCCCCACACCCTACAGATGGCAGTCCTTTGCCAATGGAAAGGTGAAGAAGAAAGGGAAGAAGTCTAAGGTGCCGAACATCATGAACAAGAAGAGCATGTTTGCGACGACGGAGAGCGGCAAAGTATGTAGTGTGAATGCGTACAAGTACTGGTGGATGTTTGTTGGGTATAAATAGTATGTGTGTTTTACAGATCAAGCTATATATATATATCTATCTATCTATCTATCTATATCTATATCTATATCTATATATATATATATATATATATATATACTACACACACACACACACTATATATATATTATTTAGTTTT